CTGCTGTGTGAGTGCAGGGGCTATGTGTGAGTGGCGGGGAGTGCCGGCCATACAGGGAGCCAGGTGGAGGTTGCAGTCCTCACTGTAATGTGCAGCACTGGCCAGAGCCACGCCCTGCTGAGTACCTGCACCCTGAGTGCCTTGCCTGCTGCTGTGCCATGAGGAATGTGTGCATGGGTTCCCACAACCCCTCACATACACAACCCCCCAACATACTCTATGCCCCCCCCACACAGCCACACCCCCTCACAACCTCCCACACACCTCCACATCCTTCCACACACACACACCCATACCCCACCATACATACACAACACACACCCACACCCCACCATACACACACCCACTCCCTACCATACAACCCACAATATACAAAATTAAGGATTTATTTTTTACTTAATATGTAATCACCTCTATATATACTATGCAAACACAAATCATGACAAAAATATTTTTTGTAATAAAATTAAAATATGTTATAGTAGGTGTTTGACTTTTAGTGTACGACTTGTTTTTTTCTGGTAAGATGGCAACCCTCCCTCCCAAAAGGAGTATTTCCAGGGGTCAAGAGAATCATAGAATCATAGAAGTAGGGTCGGAAGGGACCTTGTAGATCTTCAGGTCCGACCCCCTGCCTGGGCAGGAGGAAAACGGCTCAAATGACCCCAGCCAGGTAGGCATCAAGTCTCTTCTTAAAGACCCCCAGGGTAGGAGTCAGTACCACTTCCCTTGGAAGTTGGTTCCAGATCCTAGCCACCCTGACTGTGAAGTTCTTACAGATGTCTAATCTAAACCTACTCTCCAACAACTTGTGGCTGTTATTCCTTGTTATCCCTGGGGGCGCTAGGGGAAAGAAGGTCTCCCCCAAACCCTTCTAGTCCCCCCTAGTGAGTTTATAGATGGTCACCAGGTCCCCCCTCTGCCTTCTCTTGTGAAGGCTGAACAGATTCATGTCCTGTAACCTCTCATTGTAGGGTCTGCCCTGCTGTCCCCGGATCATGCAGGTAGCCCTCCTGTGGACCTTCTCAATGTTGTCCACATCCCTGTTGAAGTGGGGCGCCCAGAACTGGACACAGTACTCCAGCTGTGGCCTAACCAGTGTCACGTAGAGGGGGAGGATCCCCTCCTTGGCCCTACTTGAGATGCCCGTGGGGATGCGCGATAAGGTCCGGTTAGCCCTGCCAACCGTGTC